GATCAGCGGGGCTTCGCGAAAACCAGGCGTCTCCCTTCATTAGCCACGTCACTTCCGCTCCGCTTCCCCACGTCTGCTGTCATTTCCTGCTCCTGATCTATCTCCGTGAATACATACAGTCGGACCTGTACAAGACACTCACCTGTACAAGACAATCACCTGTACAAGACAATCACCTGTACAAGACAACTACCTGTACAAGACAACCGCCTGTATAAGACAATCGCCTGTACAAATGGCCACCTGTATAAGACAATCACCTGTACAAACGGCCACTTCCCACCCCCACCCCGTGAAGCAGTTGCGAGCGCCGTAAAACACTCACAACAACAACAAATCCCATTGTGTTTGTTTCTTGCATTATACTGACATTGTATGAGACAGCCGGTGGCGTAGGTGGTCTAGTGGTTAGGGTGCCGGACTCGTAATCGTGAGATTGTCGATGGTCTAGTGGTTAGGCTACCGGACTCGTAATCGTGAGCTTGTCGGTTCGGGGGTTCGAGCCTCAGCTCGGTCCGACGTTGTGTCCTTGGGAAAGGCACTTAACAGGAATTTCCTACTTGGCTCGGTCCTTTCGGAGATGGACGTTAAACTAGGAGGTCCCGCCTCTTAAATAACCTAATAGTGTTGGTAGAGGCGTTAAACTTGTACCATTTTCACATTTTGTTAAGACGACACCTGTCCAAAACGACCACTTTTCTCCCTGACAACGAGTGGTCGGCTTAGACAGTGTGGACTATATTGGAAAAGGACGGAGTAGGCCAGGAGTGTTTCAAGAAGGCCATAGTGCTTGTGTGGTTTTTTACAACGCCTCCCCTCTACGTCACAGGACCAATTTACATCCAACGATTTTTTGAAAATCTCTACAATAATTGCATTCTCTGTCCCATTTCTGCATCTGTGTATTGCTCTTGTAGTGAGGAACGGTGATTGTGTGTGTGTGTGTGTGTGTGTGTGTGTGTGTGTGGGTGTGGGTGTGGGCGTGGGTGTGGGGAGAGAGAGAGAGAGAGAGAGAGAGAGAGAAAGAGAGAAAGAGAGAAGAAAAGAGAGAGAGAGTGAGAGAGAGAAAGAGAGACAGAGAGACAACGAGATAAAAAAAAAAAGGGGGCGGGGAGGAGGGAGATATATGGATGGATGGTGCTTCAGAAAGACAGTCAAACAGACTTAATAAAATAACACACCAGTGACAGAGTGGGTGCCATAGATGTGTGGCAGAAAGTGACAGGCAGAGATAG